TAATGATAATTGCAATTTAAGCAATGTATCAAAAAAGAAAGAAAAGTCAAAGCTTATGTTAAAACAACATAATTTACATAGAAAATATGTTGATAATGAAATTGTAAGAAATAAAAGACAGAAATTTAAATAATTGTTTGATAATATAAAAAAAATATATTTTAATAAAAATTAGATATGGTTTTTACTTTTAATTTTTTGTTTCACCAATGACTTCAATAATTTTGACTTTTGTCAAGGGTTTTGACTTTTGTCAAGGGTTTAGTCTTTCGTCAAGGGTTTAGTCTTTCGTCATTTTTTAGTGATTTGACGAAATAGTTTCTCAATTCCAAAAACATTTCGTCATACATCATTATCACTGGCTACTATTATTTTAATTATCTATTTGTGTATAATTTGTTCTTTATAACAATAATTATAGCAACATTTCCCCTCGCCGAACATTATACTTCATTCATTCATACATAGATGGTTAATAATAGTAAAGTTTATCAATTGATTGGATATTTTAAAGTTGAACTTGTGACCGATGATTGTTTATATTATTATTATTATTATGCTTTAATAAAGACAATAAATAAAAAGAAACAATAAAATAAAACTTGTTTAAGCCAACAACATCTTTTTCAAAAAATCTGGAAATATTATATACATTACTCTGGCTCTTTCTTTCATTCTCAATTTATTACTGCCATGAATTATTTCGCATTACTAAATTTAGTAATAGCAATGTGGTTCAAAATGGGTTAACAGATGAACCTGGTATTGAGTCACTTTATGGAAAATCCACGGAGCTACCTGTCAGAGGCTTAGAATTTTTTTAGTTGCTTCAGAACAATTGGAAGAAACGCATTTTCAGGCAAGTGTTTCATTCGAGATTTAATTGAGATTGAATTAACTGCAATTCCCTTTTTTTATTCACCTCTGATCGTAAGTTTGTTTCTGTATTATTGATGAAAATGTCAAGTGCAAAAAACGCTAATCTTGGCATTAAATCTCTCTCCGATTTTTCTTGCTTGGATATTTATTTTACACGGGAGTCATGAATTTAAAGATTCCGAAGGCTACTTGTCAAGGGCAAAGATGTTAGAATTTCAAGCAAAGTATGTTTGGACGCGCGGACTTTAGTATTGAAGCTAAATCTGTTAATTAATACTCCTCACACTATTGTTGATTTCATGAATGAAAACGTTGAAAAACTCTAGTGTAGATTTTTAGTATGGATGAGTTTGTATATGAATTTGTTGTGGCAAAAAAAACAAGTATGATGCGAAATGGGACGATCACCAAAAATCACACCTTAATTCAAAATACAAGATTAGCGATGGGCGTAACAATTATATGATTAAGTAATCATTATTACGTACAAATTTGTTACACGAGAAAAAAGGAAATTAATTGATCAGATGATAGAAAAGATATTTATTTTAATGTATCAATTTTATATTTTTAGATTTACGATTCCACATTTTTTCTTAAGCAGACAGGGTCTAATACAATTATAATCTACATGTCATGTTATAGGACAGTATTATGTAAAAGGCACAAATTTGGTCAAAAGACCTAGGATGTGATTTTGCTGGAAGAATGTTATTCAACTCTGTTAGTAGATTAGTACAATGCACTGTATGATAAATACCCTATTGGTTTATGTTAATAAAAAACAAAGAACCACTTTTTTTATACAATATAGAAAAAAGTAGTACTTTTAAAATTTAAAACAGGAATCGAGATTTGCGATTTTTGCTTGCCTTGAGGTTTTGGTGAGTGGTTCTTTAGTTAAATCTTTACAAACCTTT